CCCCAAAACCCCAAAACCCCAAAACCCCAGGGAACAACTGGCTGATTGAAAGCAATTAGGGTGCGACTTATTTAGACCTCTTGTTCCTGAAGTAGTACATAGCACCGAATGTGGCCAAGCCGAAGCCGATTAGAGCAACAGCCACCTTGGCCTTGGAGTACTTCTTGCTCTTTCCGAAGAGTAATTTATGTCTTTCATGATGCTTCTGTTCGGCATCTTCAATTGATTTCTCAATTTTTAAAATGAGCGTGTATTGTTGGGAGAACTTTGATGTCATTTTTTGCTCAATTTCTTTTGCCTTGTCAACGAGATTATAAGCATCTTCAAATTCTTTCAGGTATTTTTTAATCATTGCCAAGCTGGTCAGGACTCTAGAGCTAGCAGGGTTGGTTTCAGATCCATAGTTGCTTTTATACATCTCATAACAGTTGAGGAGACCTTGGTAGGATTCTTGAAGCTTTCCGATATTAATTTTCATTTGACACGACGCCCTGATCGCATTTGCATGTTCAAGAGAACCTTCACCATAAACAGCCAGTGAAATTTGTTCACATTTTGCAGAAGCCTGAAGGGCTTGGGATAAATTATAATTTTCTGAGAGCATGCTCATTTTCAAAACTATTGCTTTGTGATAGGGCTTGGTGTTCTCGCCATTTTTCCTGGCATAGGCCAAGAAGTCATTGCAGAGTTTATCAGCTTTAGCTATATCTCCCTGCACTGCTATCTGGCTGATGATGGTTTCATAGGTGTCTGTGGCAAACTCATTTACAACACTTTGCTTTGGAAGGAACTTCAGTCCAACCTGAATATACTTCTGAACATTTCCAGTTGAGTTTGCCATCATTAGTTGTGTAGAATAGATCGACTGCAGCTTTGTCTCAAGGAAAATATTTAGATTTTGTTCATAAAGCTCGGCTAGTGAATCAAGCTCTGTCATTGCTTTCATTATGCCTTGCATGTCAGGAACAACCATCATGACCATAATATTTGCCAAGTCAAGATTTGCCCTGAATTTGTGTAATTTGTCAACTCCAAATTCTTCTCAGTACTCAAGAGCAGTCTCAATGTATGGCTTCATGGTTGGGTCACGGATAGACTCAAGTGATGACACAAAGCTTATGTAAGATAGCTTGTCATCTTTGATCAGATCAGCATAATTCTTTGCAATTTGGTAGTCAATTTTAGCTCCCATCAACTCCTGAATATTCACTAGAAGTCCGAAGCCATCCATCATGCTGTAGTTCATTTCATAGGTGGATCTACTGACCAGCTCTTCGAATTCTTTCCTGAAGCCAAAGACCTTACCCTGGTCAACAGACTCAGGATCAAGACTGAACATCACCAAAGTGGCCATGATTTTGAAGAATAGTTTGGAGGTTTTCGTGAGCTTGTGATGCTCTGTCAGTTTAATAAGAACATCTACCCGCCTGGCAACTCCTTCTTTGTCCTTCTTGTCCTTCTTGTTCTTCTTGTCCATGTAGTCCATGATCTCTATCATAGATAAGCCGAGGAAGCAATCAGCAAGCTCTGGTTCGAGATGAGTTTTGAGTTCTTCTTTCATCATTGGGAGAGCGCGCCTCACTTGCTTGTTCATTTTCTCATCATCTTTTGCAAAATTTTGATAGTTCCCAATGACAAAATCTTTCATTAGATGTAGCAGTCTTGTAGATTCACAAGTCTCAAGCAGTTTATCAGTCGCAACCATCCACTTCTCAGTATCTGCTAAGGAGTAGTAGTTTCAGAACAACATATCCTTCTTGAACTCCAGATCTCTAAGGATTTCCTGAGGAAATTCTCTGCTGTGGATATCTTCGAAGATGTTTCCAATGTATTCTTCAGGAGTTTTACAAGCAAGAGTCATATAGTTAGAGTCAACTCACAAGTAAGCCGAGTAGTATTTGAAGGCAACATAGTCGTCTGCTTTGTGAGTTTCAAACAATTCTTTGAATAAGCCCATCAAGACTCTGCATCTTGTGTATCCTCCATTGTATCTGAAGATATCAAACAAGTTGAACATGAACTCTGCCTTGTACTTCAAAGGAATGGCTTCATCCTCATTCTCTGGGTCTGGCCCAATGAGCTTCTGGTACAGGTCTTCGAACTCTTCGATATTTTGGTCAGTTGCTTTCTCATTGAACAAGACCAATGTGAGTCTGAGGTGTTCAAGTTTTGCAATCTTCTGGTCTTCTTTGCGCTCCTCCATGTCGACTCTTGCTTTAGCTTCATCAATGATCTGGTCGAACTCAGCAACAGTGAGTCTTTGGATCTTCTCTCTGAGGTTGAATTGATCTGTGGGGTCAAGTTCCATAATATTAAATTTATTTGGTTCTAAATTCATTATATATTAGCTGCCATGGGGTTTTGGGGTTTTGGGGTTTTGGGG